ACCTATCCATACAGGTCTTATAAATTAAAGTAGCAGTTTACTTTCGATATTTTTTCAGCAACATCAGCTTATTCACAGTATTTTTTCTTGTAGCCTACTTGTAATTTTTCCTCCTTATATGCGCTGTTCTGGTGTAGTTCTACTTTCATCTTCTCTAAATTCGATGATTTCCGCCGTTTCAATTATAACTTCTTATTTTGATGATATGAAACCGTGCTTTGCTATTTGTTTATGCTTCTGACACAATATAGTGCTATAAATTAAGACACTTGGCGGATTTTCTCATCTTTATTTAGTTGATACGTGTGGAAAAAATTACACGTTTCGAGCTCTTAAGCCCCTCTTCAGTCAACTAAAACATTTAAAAAGGATATAACATACACATAAAAAGGAATACACAAGTTTTGTAAAATTTTTAAATGTTCTTGTTTTTTTCTTACTGGAATTTCTGCAGCATCGTAGTAATTTCTGAGCATGCTCTATACGTAAAATCATGAAGCTGCTGAAGAGGACACAAATATTTCTTGCGAAATCCATCAATAGTGCAACTTTTAAAACGTTGGGGGTGGCGAAACGCCCCACTGCACTAACCAAGTTAACGAAGCGGGGATCGTTATTCAATGTAATTCATAGTTAGGGTATGCAAGGGTAAAAAAATTATACAGTTTAACGAGACTGTTTAAATATTCGATTAAATAACCAGGTATTCTCTAGAATAACGAATTATAAACTTTAACGGTAACATATATACTGTGTATAATACTATCACATTAATCAATATCCCGTTTGATTCAACTCCGCTATGCTATATAATCGGTTAATTTCAAATATCTTTCATATAAAAATTTTGACAAAATTAATTCATTAATAATTATTTTGTACTTATTACAGTTATTTTTACACCAACAAAGTTAGCAGATAATGTGTTTATTAATAATTCATACAAGACAATTATTAACATTAAAATTGTTTATTAGTACAAACGATTTTATACGGAAAAGTAAAAATAAAAGAATATAATTCAAGTTTTGAAGCGACTCGTCAATCTTCGTTTGAACAATTAAAGTGTAAGTTTTTTACAATAATTTGATAGTTATGTTTGTAATCAGTAGACTGTAAGTGAAGATTTTGTTCTTTAGCATTATACAAGACTCTTTCAAATCTGTATAGAACTTCCTGTGCATCAATGTATAGAACTCTTCGTCGTTTAAAGCCGAGGAAGTATAAATTTTACCAGAGCGATAATAAACGCGATACAGCTTATCATAAGCAACGAACGTGAATCTATAATTAAAATTATTCGAAGTAAAATTCAGTTTTGACAAAACTTTTAAATTATCAAAATCCATTTTATAACCCACTAAAACAGTGCCTAAATAATGTAATGTCTGACTTATAACTTCAAATGCCCAAAAAAAGTTATCACCGTGANAGAGTGCTTAAAATATAAATTGTCTTTGTAATATTTTAATTATTATTTAAAAGCTACTAAAATATTGTCTACATTACGGTGGATAAAAATTGAGTTTGTTTAATTCTAAGAATTTAACAGAATAGATTTGCCGGGAATATGTCTGTGGCAGTAAGTTGGAAGCGCGAGTTGTTTCAGAAGTTTTTCTTAAATTCACGAGACTTTTAAATATTTGCCAAGTTAAACGCCAAAAGTTTTGTATCGAACAGCTTAAGGAATGAACACCCGGTACCGAAAAGTAATTTGAACAGGTGTAGACCCGAGTACGCAAACTATCGATTGCTGGTAACCTCGTCACGTTTCAACTTCGTTTAAATTAAATTCTATAATTTCTTCACATTCGCGTGGTACTTCTCGATCTTTCAAATTGTACATTCTGGACAATTTGAAAAGAAGAATATACTCTCTTCAGGTTCTACTAGTATTTATTGATTTCTTTTATATTGAACACTTTATTTTTAATCAGTTCTATCCTTACAGCTTTCTTACACACTCAAATTTCATAGTACTTGGAATGGAGAATTAGGAAAAGGTTATTTTAAACACTTTCCTACAGATTTTTTTAAAATTTAAGGCCAAAATTTGGAGCTCGAACTTGGGCCAAATGACCCTGCTAACTTCTCAACGTGGACTTGCTCATAAATATAATTAGAAGGAGAAATACATTAAAAATAATCAAACAATTAGATCTATATTTAAGAATTATTAAATGAAAATATACACCGGGTATTTTTAGCTTTGTATATTATTTATATTATGTTATGATAAGTTAAATAATATAAAAGTTACTTTAACTAAAAACTTGAAATTTATATAAATCGAATAGATACAAAGGAACAATAACGGGACGAGAACTTGTTAGAAGTTTCCGGTCACACACCAACTGTCGTCGTAGCAACCAATCCCCCTCCATTCACTCACGAACTCGGGGCTAGAACGTTCCAGATTTCTCCCCTCCTGCTATAAATACAAAGTGACGAAAGCCATCTGCGTTATACACACACGTTAGAAGCAGCAACAAGGAACATGTCTCGATCGCTGATACCCGCTCTAATAGGAGATAATTGGTGGTCCATGTGGGATTATCCTCATCGTTTATTCGATCAACACTTCGGATTAGGATTAAGTGACGAAGATTTCTTCCCCATGACGATGTACAGGGGACAAATGGTTCGACCTCGACGACAACTGAGTCGACAGGATTCTAGTTCGGGTGTTTCCGAGGTTGTCAATACTCGCAATAAGTTTCAAGTCATGACTGACGTCAGCCACTTCTCTCCCGAAGACATAAGTGTTAAAACCGTTGATAACTGCGTGGTTATACACGGAAAACACGAGGAGAAAGTGGATCAACACGGCTTCGTTTCTAGAGAATTCACCCGAAGGTATGTCCTTCCCAAAGAAGTCGACCCCGAAAAAGTTACCTCGTCGTTGAGTCCAGATGGTGTATTGACAGTGGAAGCTCCCAAAAAGTGCTTAGAATTACCTTCTAACGAGAGAGTGGTTCCTATAACGGTTCAGAAAGCTCCAGATGTCGACATGGAAGAACAATCACAGAAGCAATAAGCTTGGGTATATTGTGTTTATTAATTGGCACCCTCTATTCTGTATTGCATTTTATATTTTAATTGTGAAAATAAATGTAACTGATTTTAATTATTAATCTGTGTGATAGTTTCTTTTTTACTTTTATTTAAAAAACTTAAAATGCCTTAACCTATAAACTCTATTATTAAAGCCTCATATATTGTAATTTTTACGAACAAAAAATATTTAAAGACCTTTTTTAATTAATAAAGAAATCTAAATGCAAAAATATGGCAAAGGGGCCTCCGAGGAGAGAGGAGGCTCCTTCTACCCCCGGGTTTCATAATAGCTCTCGGATAATAAATACACTTTTTCTTGTCACTCGACAAAGAAGACTCGACATTTTTCGATAAATTCAAGGTCTCTCTGGACGTCACGGGTCAAGCATTAATCGAGCACAGGGTCCTTCTGAGTCCTCTAAACATCGGATCTGTTTATCAAGGAGGCATTTGGACGAAGAGACGATTTTTCCGTTCGTACAAAAATTTAAAAAGAATTAAATCGAAAGGGCTTTAATGACGTCAAATTGCCAAAATTACAAGTTTTGTAGGCAGAAAAGGGAAGAAATGCCGTATTAACGATTTAATTTTATACACAACCGATTTATTCCGTTTGTTATATTTAAATTGAAGGAAGGGAGTTTCATTTCCAGTGTGATAATGACATAAAATACAAAATTACATCTGCTATGGTAAACATCATTACCTAGAATGCTTTTAATATCATATTAAAATATTTTTAACTTAAAGTGTAATTTGACCATTTGCTCTTATATAAAGAAATGTCAACGTATGGATTTCTTCTATTGTTTACTAAACGAAGTGTACTGTAGTGTACGTACTCTACAATACAAGCAGTTTTATCAATTCAGTGAATGTAACAGAAAAAGTATGGCGAACGATCACAAAATAACCCTTCAAAATTTTTACATTTTTAGACTCGGAGCACCTCGAAACGTCGAGAAATGCCAAATAATGGGGTTTATTTCTGTATATTTGATGCCGCTTTGAAGCTTAATAACTCTCGTGTTTTTTGTCGACAATTTCTGCAATTTTGCAGAGAGATTTGTATATATTAGAGGGATCGATGCTGTTAAATTTTGGTAGTTAAAGTTCGAAGGGCTTGGAAAGATAGAGTCGTGTGTGTATCTCGAGTGGAATCGGACTTGACGAAGATTTTACTCGTTATTAGCATTGGAAAATTAAAAAGAACAAAAATAATAAAACTCGTCGCTACCCTCGAAATTAAGCTTTTTGTCATTTTATAATAATTAATAATATAAAAAGTTTTTAAGCAAAATATCGTAACAGACGGCGCCATACGCAGTTTTAACTGTTGTCGGAAAAGTTACGCGACTCGTTGCTAATTTTTTTAAAATGCAATCTTAATTAAAAAATGCATTTTTGATAAGACAAAGAGAGCAATCGCTATTCGAATCTCACTTTTAAAAGTTCACGTTAGTCACTTAAATAAGTCACTTCGCTATGAAAAATCGGATGAATCTTTGCATAAATGTGTGACTAAATGATAAATATTCGTCACTTCGCAACATCAATCATGATATTTATACTTCAACTCTTCTTTCTAGTGACTTCTGACCTTTCTAAAAGGCCATCAAACAGGAGAACGATGCAATTCAAACTGTAGCCCCCAAAACCAGCGTTGTGTAATCTAAGATAAGCAATGTGTCATTCTTTGACGCATCTTTACCAGTGACGTCGATACTAACCAATTGCTTTAAATAGAGGAAGCGCTACCATATCTGGTCAAAATCACAATAGAAGAGAAAGGAAAAAACTAAAGATCGAAAAATCGCTGAAATGATGACTGAAGAAATTGATACCACATTCCTTACAGAACAATCGATGTTATCAAGTGACGATGATGAAAGTTGTAAGTAAAAGTATCAAATAATTTATTCTGTACAAAACTTGTTCGTATGCCAGTGATCGAACGATCGATCACCATGTGTACTTTACTTGGCTCGATCGATCTTTCGTTCACTTAATTCTAGTTATATCAATTCGTTGATGATCGATTTAATTCTTATTTTAATTTAGTTCTCGTTTTCGTTATTTCTTTTTATTGTGTAAGTCACAATACATACTTGCCAACCTTTTGAATAGGAACTAGTTGAGACGTTGGTAGAAAAACTCTAACAGCATAAAATGCGAAAAAATTATTTATTAACATTGATATTGCGCAACGCTTCTAGTAAACATTTTCAATAAGCAGAATTTAATTTTATAATTCTTCCTGTTATATGTCTTTGTACGACGTTTTCTCTTTGTTAATAATTTCTTTTGTTATAGTGTACTAGTGACATTTTCTATCAGTCAGTTTATCGACATTTACTGCAATTAAGGACAATGATTTTTCCGGTTGTAATTTACTTTCTATCTCTGTCTTACTTTTTCTTATCATACTGAATATATTTTACTTTTGCTACACAACAATACAGTGAAAGTATTGCAATGCTGTGTGGAAAAATCATCTATTTTACAATTTTAGTTTAGATTAGAAGTTATATATAAAGAAAAAAAAATCGAAAAAACTAATGACAAATACAGTACGTTACTTCGTACTTCGAACGTTCCAGACAGTGCCGTAACTAGCCATTTCTGTGCCCTGTGCAAGAATTTGCAATTAGGCTCCTGAATTAATTAGATTTGGAAAAATAATAAAACAAATACACGCCTTTTCAGCTCCCCTTCCAAGTGGTCCCTGTGCGGGTGCACCTGTTGCACCTGCCTAGTTATGGCACTGGTTCCAGAGTTCGAACGATGTATTTTTTTATATTCAGGTGTATACTTTTATATAAATAGTGTATGATTTTCGGTCATACTAAATGTTCGAACCACAATTTTGATTGAGACATTAAAATAAACACAATGTTGGTTTCAATTTAGCAGAGTTCGGATTAGCTAGACGATCATGTAATAGTTTCTATACGACTTCAGCTAAAATGCTTTTAAGTACAGTATAATCTATGTGTTGTACACATATATAGGCCTACATATTTTTTATATGTAAGCTCATGTGCGTACGAGTGGAAGAAGAAAAGATAATTGTCCTGACATATGCCCATGTCTAAAGCCTATGTACTATACACAGTTAACGAACTTAGAATATACAGTAATTTCGTTAACCTTCGTTAAAATGGACATTGATNTGTACCTAAATGGTAATGAAAAACTAAAATATTAATTGTTATATTGGTAGTTTTACTCGCATAAGGTTTATTATAATATTTATGTTTTGTAGTACTGAAGAGGGTTCTTTAATAGGACCGAAATGCATATACAGTGATTAATTAAATAAAGAGAAGTAATTAGCTATCTGCTGTGTGTTGGTCTACCGCTAAACCTAAAATTTATATATTTTTAGTGCGGATTTACAGAGACTTTATAATATTTATACATAAACAGCAGTCAAAGAAATTTAATTAATATTTATATTTAAAAAACAATAGTTATAGCTCAACTTAACACCGGTAGATGACGTTACTGTAGGCCTACTTAGTTCGAAATTTCCGAAACTTGTTTCATTCCCGTTCTGCCTCCATCCATTGTGTTTGGCTGTTCCGTCGATCGTAAATTTGTTAACTTTCGATACAGTCATGAACGTAGAGGAACATAGAAGAAAAATTCAAGAAGCACGAAATACAGTTGACGAAGATGAAAAATTTTACGCTGAAATTGGAAAAAGAATTTGGGGACAATTTACAAGAGGAAACAATATGCCCCAGAAGAACAATAAGACAGGTAAGTGAAATATTAAATAATTCGTATTAGTTTGGTAACTATCGATTAGGTATTTATTACTCCACACTTAGCTACTATCTCGTTACTATATTTATTACTCCACACTTAGCTACTATCTCGTTACTTCATGTTCGATCGATCGATCATCCACTGACTTCCGTTCGAAATATTAAGAGTTCGTACGTTATAATATTGCTCATAATCCTATTTGACTTATGTTTTGAGCATACTTTACTATCAAATTAGATAATTGACTCAAATAACCAATTGGTAGACTAATTTTATTCATCATATCAAGAAAAGAAGACTAATTTTATTTCTTTTCTTGATGTGATCTCGATTACTTGGCTTCATTACAGTTTGATAAGCCTCGTATATCTCTACCATTTGGTTATTTGAGTCAATTATTTAATTTAATACATTAGAGGGAAAAATATTACAATTATATACTTTACTATCATTTCGTCGCCATCTTTCAAACTGTTAATGCCACTGCTGACCTATCGCTGTCTCATCACACAATTGATTTCGTATTTCCATGTTATTAAGACCATTAACTATCAGTTTTTCGACCTAGTGTATACAGTACATATGAAATTTACTTGTCACTTCAAAATCTATCGGTTTTCTGGTTTTGAAAGCAATTCGTTGTCGTAACCTGATTTTTCTAGGGCTTTAAGAGGGATGCTTTCTAGTGCCCCACAATAACCATGCATAAGCTTATCGAAATCGACGAAATACATCTCCTGTAAATAATTTTTTATATAAATATTGAATACCTTTATTTTTGAAGAGAAATAAACTGTCACAAAATAAAAATGCCAGAGAAATTTAAATAACAAAATGTATAAAAATGCGAAAAAAATAAAACAATGGGTGGCTTACATTGTACAGTACCTACCAGTTGCAGCCCTCCACTTCCCATTCCGGTTGACATGGCGCCGTAAACAAGTAGCGATGATTGGTACAGCTGGTACCAGAGCCGTAACTAGCCATTCCTGTGCCCTGTGCAAGAATTTGCATTTAGGCCCCTTAATTTATTTGGTTTGGGAAAATAATAAAACAAATACATTACAATAGATTTTTAATCAAATTTATTTTAATTGAACTTTTCTGGTTTTCATTTCAGCAAATTCATCAATTACATCATCATAATTAATATTTTTAACGATATTGTATTCTATTGAAATAATAGAAATATTGGATAATTGTTCTTGTCCGATAGTTGATTTTAAATAATTTTTTATTAATTTTAACTTGCTAAAACTTCTCTCGCACGAAGCAATAGAAACGGGAAGAGTTAGAAANATGTTCAACCCCAATACCCGAAAAAGGCTGGTTCGATTACGACGAATTCATAAAAAATTATGAAGAACTGAAATCCAAGTGTTTACAAGCACAAAATTCGGATGATACAGAAGAGGAGAAAAAGAAACATTGTTCAGTACTATTATCACATTACAAATTATTCTCAACTATGCCGAGGGATTTAGGTTATGAACTCCGACGCAAGCTCAAAACCTTAGAAATGAAATTTAAGCTGAAAAATTTCAAACGAATGTATAATAACTTTGCGAAATCGAAAGAAAAACGTCAAAATTTAAGCTTTGAATCCGAAGACGATCTCGAGAATCCATCAACATCTGCAAAAGTGAAATAAAAAGTCACTTTCACCGTTCTTTATAAAGCAATGTTCAGTTACTTAAGATATGTTGTAACTAGTGTTACTGATATATTAAAAGTATAACTTTTGTAAGTTTAGTTATTTTATATTTTATTTCGTGCTTAGAAATTATTTATATGCCATTTAGTAACAAGAAATTAACAATTATCTATACTGGCTTATTAAATAGCTAGCAGATGAGGCCGACATGTCTCGGGCAAAATATAAAAACAAGCATTAAGATTATTTCGTACTTCTACCTTTCTATTATATTATATTATATTATATTATTTGATTTAATACAATTGCACACACTTACGACTAAACAATCGCAGCTATTAAAAAATTGCAATCGGTCCTATTTTCGCTGCGACGCGACTGTCGCTGAAAAAATAAATCACAGAGACGGGAATGGACATGTTTAGTACCCACTTGCGACAGTTTTGATGCAGTATACAGTCGTGTTCTGGTCATTATATGTTATTAATGGACCAATTATTCCCAACAATATATAGGGGCGATCCTTGTACTTTGGAACACTTTTTTTGAACCTTCATAATTTAAGTTCAAATTGATTATTAGCTATGACTATTGAATATTTCTATTAGTAATTGATAACATCACTATATATGGCGCAACACGTGACCCTATGCTATTTCATTTATGAGAAAATGTCAAATAATTACTTACAGATATTTGTCCCTAGGTACAATCATGGATTGCACTTCGGGACACCAATGTTTGTACCTTGAGACACGAACCAATCCTAACGTTTTTGTAAATCTTAACTTCCGCCAGATGAAAAAAAGATCGTTTATCCAAGTCTTTTCCTTTATAACGATATTAGCTTTATCAGTTAACAAAAATGTTTCATATGCTGGAAATACAGGTAAGTATAAAGCTTAAATGTTCTGTAAAAGGCATTTAAATTATTGGAAACCAAAGATAATTTCATTTTTGTATTAAGAAAAACAATAGTCATTACAAATATAGGTCAGAAACATTACTACTTACTAATTTTTTAGAATTAATACCGCGTTTCCGACAGTAATATTCAAAAAAAGTGCAATCTTCGTGCACCCCACACAATTATTTTCCTCTTGAACTTCATCACACGAATCGCCACTCTCTAAGATCGCAGAAGCTTCACCTCAGAGCTACTGACTTCAACTTTTTTCTTCTTAAAAACTCGCTTTTTAACAGATTTAGCAGTTTTATTCACTTCATTCTTTTTCTTCGCGGCCAACAGAAACATAATAGTATTAAATAAATAGTTGAGGAAAGCAATGCCTTATACTGTACCTTGGGGCAGTCTCAAGGTACAATTTTCTCTTGTTTATAACAAAGTATGGTTATAATTTTTCAATTACAGAAATCCAATGTTATTTATTAAAATAAGTAGTTACTAATGTAGTTATCAACTGATTGTACCTTAATTAAATTACTCACCTGAAAATATTTCGATTAAAATCAAGATACAAATGAGTTGCAAAAAAACAAACACTCATAAAAATCACACGACATATTACAGATAGTGAAACGAGTCAAAATAGCCGACTTTACTTCATGCATTCTGAATGTTGTAATGAAATAGCTACTAGATATCGCTACTTACTACTTCTCAATGTATTATTTTTCAAATGACGGGCTTGTCTCGAAGTACAAAGTATTCCAAGATACAAGGATCTCCCCTAATTTAAAATGTGTTAGATTGGTCACTCGGTGCGATAAACCGTTACGTAAGATAACCTTTGTAGTTACATAAATATAAAGAACATTAAAACGAAACTATATAGTTTGTTCATTTCAACCTACCATTGTCACGTATATAGCGATACTCGGACGGTACGAAATGGCGCAATTTTATTGATCAATTAGACACCAATTGAAAACACAATATCTTAAAAAATCGAAGATGTTAACTCTAAGAAACTGTTTCATTCACAGCCGAGTATCAAACTGTAATCTACCAACCAATCATATTTATCAAAAACGGACCAAATATTTAAACTCGACATCCTCGAAAACCACTTCAAACAAATTTGTGCAGACTGGTAACCTCGTAATTTTCTTATTCGTATGCTACCATAACACTGCTCCGGCGGAAGGGGTTGACCTTCTCCCGGAAGAGAGGATGGCCAACGACTAGGCCTACTAAACAATACTGGTTTACTTGAAATGTGAACTGTGTTGGACAGGTTGTAATGTCCTCGCATGTGATCGAAGTTGCTAAAAAACTTCATATAAAACTTGTTTAAACGAGCAATTATTTATTGTGCAATTTTTAATCTTACTTTTAATTTATTTAATTTAAAATATATGCTCTCCACCTCAAATTAGCAGTGGTTTACGCCTGTAGAGTATACCATACTTTTCCTTTAACAATAGAGTCTTGCTGGTCATCTATTAACTGTTTTCAGGAAAAAATTTTGAACTGACTTCCGGTTTGCATCGAAAGTTCATATACAGTATAGTTAATTGGGACTTCCTGCTCCTAAGGTTTCCATATATGTTTACATCTATCTGATTCCTTTCTGCAGATTAAGGAAAGACAGATTGTCGAACAACAGTGGGAATTTATAGGTCTACAATTTTTCAAATTGCAGTCCAATTAAAAAAAAAGTCTTGTAAAAATTTAGAATAATTCCTTTTATGTGATAATAAAATGTTTAAATTTCTGCAACAAATTGTATAAACTACGTGGGAAGTATGTTGTCGTAAATATTGCGTTTACAGAAAAATTATTGAAATGCAAAATTGTAGACCTATAAATTCCGACTGTCGTCCACTGTGTGTCTTTCTGTCCTTCCATAATCTCGAGAAAGGAGTTAGATAGATAAAAGTCGAAACCAAATATGATACACTTAGGAGCATTCCAATGAAAATCGGAAGTCACGTTACTTTAATTCAAAATTTTCTTTCTAAATGGAGTTAGATAACCGGCACGACTCTATTGTTAAAGCAGAAGTATAATGTAGAGAGGCATGACAACCACTAGAAGAATTGAGAACATTGTGACGAAAAGTTGCAGCCCGGCATTGTTAGGATGTCCCAACAAATAATCGCTCGTTAAAATTAGTTTAGTTTATTTGGTTAGGGCAACGCGACACACGAGCGATCTGCCGAGGGATATGCATCCCCGGAAGACTTTTATGGAAAGCTGGATTCTAGGTGTTACTGACGTGTAGAAAACCCGAAAAACTCCACGTGGCCGGGCTGGTTACGTGAAGTTAGTAACCATTGACCATGCCCAAACCCACGACACACGAACTACCAGAGTTCAATAATTCTATTAACTCGGTTATTGGACGACACTTATTAGAACTGCCGTTCAGAAATGAAAAAAAAAAAACACGAGTTGTTAGATGTGAAAAATACATACTTGTAGACTTACTGTAGACTTTTCACAGAGTAAAGCCGGATGCACACATGCGGCGCGGCAAGGAAAAGCGGTGACGCAAACGCATCTTCGCCGCGCAGCAGGACAACCACACAAGCGGCAATCCGCTTACATTTCGGCGCATGCGTTCAGTATTCAAGATGGCGAACGATATCCACGTGTTTACACACTGCCCCTATCCACGTGTTTACAAATTTTGTTTTGTACGGCTCGCTTTATTTAGCTAAAAGATTTTGTCGAAGATTTGAATTAGAGATAATTTTTTGGATCGAGAAAGAACTGGTGTACAAAATAGACTTATTCGTGGATCAAGATCTCTCGATAAAGAATACTATTTCGAGTAAGATTCGGTTGTTTTGTTCTTTGAATTAAATTATATATGATTATTTGTGTAGAATTTGTTTTAAATTTGTTATCCTTTCCTCTTTATTCTGATTTTATTTATTTCGGTTAACCGCCTCGAACTTTCCGCCATTAAAACACCACGTGATTGTATTTTCTCACGTGACTACGAGACAAACTGTTATTGGCTGATAGAAACGCGTCTTGGCGGCGTTGCCGCAAAAGATAGAATTCAACCAACTTTTGCGGCACGAGAAAAGCGGCACAAAATAGACTTCTGCGGCGAGAAAAAGTGACGTCATTCTGCCGCTTTTCCTTGTCGCGCCGCATGTGTGCATCCGGCTTAACACTTTCGATTCCACGCAAACGCTATGTACAGTACAGTACTGTACTGTACTATATGCCCAGTGGCGTACCGTGGGTCTCAGCCGCCCGGGGCGGAGGAAAGTTTCGGCTCCCCGTATTTAGGTATTTCAATTTAAAAGACCAAAATTCAGTTTTGTCACAGAACAAGCAATGAAAAATTCGGTGGTAGTGCAGCAACCTGTCTAAAATAGTTTTATTGGATATTAGCAGTGTATATGAACGGAAATGGATCGTACTCGCAAGAAAAAAAAACCAAAAAAGAAAAAAGTCAAGAGGTTTCGCAGGAACTCCTCGGATGAAAAAGTTAGTAGTT